ACATTGTTGTCACATGTTAGACAATCAATATTTTATGGGCCAGCCGTTTGCTTTAATTACGGCTCTACATCTTTTTGGCATGGAATATTTCAATTTCAAAAGAAGATCTTTCGTGACAATATGGTTGAAGGAAAATATTAAAGCTTCAATTAATTCACATTTGTTTGAAGGTTTTTTCTTTGAACTTTCATAACCAATTTTAAACCATAAGTTCTCTACGGGATTAAGGTCAGGAGACTGTCCTAGCCAGTTCATTCTATTCACAGTATGATCTTTCAACCATTTCTGGACTACCTCTGCACGATAACAAGGGGCATTATAGTCCTGAAAAATCCATGACTGATTCCCAAAAATATCTCTCGCAGTTGGTAGCAATTTATTTTGTAGTATTTCAATGTAATCTATGGCTTTCACTGTTCCGCTAACGATGTGAAGTCTTCCAACACCATGAGAAAACATGCAACCCCATACCATCACTTTTGTCAGGTACTTTACTGTGGGCTTCAGACACTGAGGGCTGAATTCCTCATGAGTGCGTCGTCTTACATAGGCACTACTTTGGTTGTCAGAAATACAAAACTGACTCTCGTCAATAAATATTACCTTTTCCCAGTCTTTAATAGTCCATAATGAATGTTCCCTTGCCCACCTCTTGCGTTGAAATTCAGTCAGTAATGGTTTTGGGCGCGTTTTACAGCCACGTAACCCAATTTCCAGCAGTCTTCCTCTAACAGTTCTTGGGCACACACTCACATTTGATGTCAAAGTCCATTGTTTCAAAATTTTGCGAGGAATTAAGCTTTCTGTTTGAAAGTGAAATTCTGTGCAATAACCTGTCTTCACGTAAAGATGTTTTTCTTAGTCGTCCTGATCACCCCCTGTCTGCAATAAAATTTGTTTCAGAAAATATTTTCAAAGTTCTCACAATAGTAGAATGGCCACATGGTACTTTAGCAGCAATTTGGCGCATAGAATAAGTTTCTTCCTTCAAATGTATTATTTTGTATCTTTTATTCTCAGGCAGATATGAAAATTTAACCATAATTCCAATATTTTCCACTAACGCACTTCAAATTGCTTTCAATACACTATTTTCCACAAGCACACAACTGCATTCAATACAATAAACCACGTTTCACCTTTTTCTTTCAACCCTTTATCACTACTGCTCTCTCATTGGTTGAAATAACGGAGCATTTCATTGGTGGAAAACACACTCACTCATTCTTACAGTGACCTTGTGCTTTGTTGTCAAGGGTTTTTCAACATATCAATGAAACTATTTACTTTAGATGAAATCTACAAACATATTTGAAATCAGCATGAAAAAATACATTAAAATAAATAACAAAATATGTAAGATAGAGCGATAATTTCATAACAAAAAATGATGTCAAACCCAAAAATTACTCAAAAAAATTAGTGTGTTCAGGACTTTTTGCCACCACTGTATGATAGATATTTCACTCGGGCCGCAACAAGAGGATAATGGGAATGAGGGATAAACACTGTTAGATCACAACAACATTGGACGAAGAAAAATTAATTAAAATATTAAAACTAATTTTTTTCTTTTTTTTGCTTTTACTAAAATACTATATTAAAAAGACATTTTTTTTAAATCTGTATTTTTAAGTCAATTTTTTCAATTTTTGTGCAAAATTTGGATAACACTATTCTACAAACGAGAAAATATATTTGTGAATTATACGTGTGATTATATTTAAAAATGACGAAGTTTTTAAATGTTTTATTAAAAATTTGAGTATTTTTTGAAAAATCGTAAAATAAAAGTTTTAGGCATTTTATTTCTTAAATGACTCATTCTCAAAGAGAAAAGCCTGAACTTTCTTAGTGCAGAATATTGATTCATTAAAAAAAAATCATACGGAACAATTTAGTAATCATTTTCATAAAAACGCATCGATTTTGACTCAGAAAAAAATTGTAAAAACTAGAAATATCATTATTTTTTTAAAAAATTTATACCGTTCCGTGGCGAAATAAATGATCTTTCCCAAGGCTATTACTTTTTGTCTGAGTTTGAGAGAAAGAATAAGATGGTTTTTAAAAAAGGTTGAAAAATCGGAGCTTCTTTAAGCTCAATCCGATAAGCTGTTGGGCAGAATTAAAAGCTAACAGGAGTAAAAGGTTTCAATTAATATCTTTTTAACTAATAGCGATATTGGAATATAAATAGTTAAAACATGTATTGTTATCCAAACTAAACGTGTGTACAAAATTTCAGCTCAATCAGTGGAAGACATCAGCTTCGAAATTGAGTTGCAAGATTCCACCCGAAAAAAATTACTTTAGTTAATATCTACACTATTAAAACTCGAAGGTAAGCAAACGTATGCGACTATACGATTCTTCTCACGAACCACACAACGCAGAAACTCGCCAAAGGTACCAAAAGCTCTGAAATGTTCCGAGGAATCCGTTTTGACCACTTATATTCCAATAGTGCTATTAGTTAAAATTATATTGATTAAAAACTTTAAAACGCATAATTATTGCTATTTTTTTCTCGGCAGGTGGTGAAGTTCCGATTTCCGAAATTTTTTATCCCAGCCTTTTTTAAGACACGATCTAATTTTTTTTATAAGACAAAAAATAATTACAGAATCAGAAAGATCATTTACTTCGCCAAAATACGGTATAATTTATTTTACAAAATAATGATATTTTCTTGTTTTTACGATTTTTTTCTAAAATGAGTCAAAATTGATACGTTTTTATCAAAATGATTTCTACATCGTTCCGATTGAATTTTCCTTCAATTTAATGAAATGATATCTACACTAATAAAATTCATACTTTTCTCTTTTAGTATCAGTAATTTAAAAAGTAAAATGGCAACAAAAATTTTGTTACGATTTTTCAAAAAATACTAAAAATTTTATTTAAATAATAATTTCTTTATTTATAAAATTAACCTCATGAAACTTTTTTTACCTGTATAGAATGATATTATTCGTAATCTGTACAAAGTTTGAAAAAATTGCTTACAAATTACGGTTTTAAAAAAAATGTGTGTTTCGTCCCCCCCTCCTTTTTTTGTGAGAAATATTTAAACATTATTTTTGTTACATTTTTTTGTTTAAAAATTACCGTTGTTTGCAATCGATATATGAAGTTTGAAGGCATTAAGCCCAAAAAAATTTTAACTTTAACAAATAACGCAATGCGAAATTGAATATCTCTTCCTTTTATTTTATATGGGTCTTTTATTTCTTTTTTTCCCGAAGATTTCGTGGATTATTAACTTTTGTACCTGGGTTCGAAACAACACCATCGCTTAGTTTTTATGATTGCTATAAAAATACTCAAAATTTTATTCGCGCATTTAATGACTGCGCCAGTAATTTTGTGCTTGGAAAGAAAATTAATTTCGTCGGGATACAGTATAATTTTTTTTAAAAACAAAACAATGATACTTTACGTATGACTTTTTTCTAAAATGAATCAATGTCGATGCGTTTATATGAAAATAATTTTTAAAAGACTCATACTTTGATCTTTTAAAGTTAGTTATTTAAAAAATAAAATGTCGAAAACTGTTTTTACGAATTTTTTGTGTGCAATAATTCATTTTGTTTTTGTGCCACTAGAGGGCTGCACCTGTCAAGATGTTTAAAAATAGGTGAATGTTCACTTACTCGAGAACTTTGATAGCGACAGGGAAATTTCCACGACAATATGTTATGCATTTAAAAATGTTCGTCAAAAGCCGGGGTGAATTAAACCTTCTGACAAAGAAAAGAAGCGGAAAAATTTCGAAACAGGGAATTTTAAGTTATAACCCGGTAAAAGCACGAGCAACATCGGGCTACGTGGAGGAGGGGAGGGGGTGGAATTCATTTTCCCCCCATTTGGGGGGCCGCGGCCCCGACCCACACTAAACGCATTCAAATTATTCAAAACAAAATTCTTAGAATCATTGCTAACGCACCTTGGTACGTTAGAAATAGTGTCATCCATCACGACTTACACATGGAGCCGATAGATAATTACATCACTAGAACTTCCAGAAATGTTTTTACTTCTATTCAAAATCATAACAACCCTATAATTAAAGCACAAACACTTTTCACGTATCCCCATGCTAAAATAAATTTTGCTTATAAAACGACAAAATGGAACCTGCCCTTAAAACCGCCGTAATTACAACAATAATACTTAATTGCTACACTTAACAACATTTAAATGCATTTGCCTACATCAAAATTGGGATCAGTGATTAAAGCTGGCTCCTGCTTCAATTCCACGATTGTTCCGGCTGCAAGTTCTGTCTTGCAGTCTCCATACTCTTATTCATTCCAGCTGCAAAAAAAAAAAAAAAAAAAAAAAAAAAAAAAAAAAATTCCGCAGCTTCTCTATTCCGATTGCGTCTTGGTGCTCCTCGAACGCGTTTTTGGGGCTGTTAAGCCCCCTTCCTTGCGCTCCTCCACTCCTGCCCGCGTAAAGTATTTTTATCTCGTTTTCGTCTGGCCGCTTCTTCCTCCATCCTCCCCCCCTGCGGGGGAGTGTATTCAGATATTGATTTTCATTGCCACTTTCTCTCCGCGAATTTGGGTATAAGCGATTCATTTCGCTGGCACCCGTTAAATCTAATTTTCGTTTTCGTTTCGGAATTCATTTTGAAAAAGAGTATTAAAAATGCTAATTTTGTGAAAGAAAGGGAACATTTATAAAAATAGAGAAAGCCCGTGCAAATCCCCACCATGCAATTAGTCTTTTTTAACTAAATGCGATATTGGAATATAAATGGTCAAAACATGCACTGTCATCCAAACTAAACGTGTATACAAAATTTCAGCTCAATCGGTTGAAGACATCCACTTCAAAATTGAGTGGCAAAATTCCACCCGAACAATTTACATTACAAGTTAAATAAAAGCTTGTAAAATAAGACATACTTTGTAAGTGTACAGAGTGGAAGTATTGTAAAATATCTCGTTGCACAAATCAAATGTTTTACACGAAAAAGAAATAATTGAAGGCGTAAGGTATCGATCCCCGCACCTCTCACCTGCTAAGCGAGCGCTCTACCATCTGAGCTACGCTCCCGGTCGACACCTGCATTATTGTAAATATGTTCACCTTAACACCTGAACAAGATCATTACAGTTAATAGGTCAGTTAAAAAAGTTACGGGAGAAATCAGAATCACAAGTAAATAAATATCATGGAATGTTTCAAAGTAAATAGAAATAGTTTGATAGATCTGTCTTTCTTAGTGTTCCCTGTAGAAAAGTAAAATTATAACATTCTTTGTACGTATGCAGAGTGAAAGTATTGCATATTTCGTTGTACAAATTAAACGAATTTCAAAAATATTTTACACGAAAAAATAACAATTGGAGGCGCTGGGTATCGATCCCCGAAACTTTCGCATGCTAAGCGAGTGCTCTACCATCTGAGCTACGCTCCCGGTTGACACCTGTGTTATTGTAAACATGCTCGCCTTAACACCTGAACACTATCGTTACAGTAACTAAGTCGATATCGGAATATAAATAGTCAAACATGCATTGTCATCCAAACTAAACGTGTACACAAAATTTCAGCTCAATCGGTTGAAGACATCAGCTCTCTCTCTTCAAAATTGAGTTGCAAGATTCCACCTGAACAAATTACTTTAATTAATGTTTTTTATCTAATTGCGATATCGGAATATAAATGGTCAAAACATGCATTGTCATCCAAACTAAACGTGTATACAAAATTTCAGTTCAATCGGTTGAAGACATTAGCTTCAAAATCGGGTTGCAAGATTCCACCCGAACATTTTACATTGCAAGTTAAATAAAAGCTTGTAAAAAACAGGAAAGAACGTGGAAATTCAAATTTGATCAAGAGAAATAATTTTCGAATGAAAATTAAAGTGATTTAAAGTAAATTTAAAACTGCGATTTCCCGGCAATCGAACCCGGAAAAATTTATTTGAAGCCAGCTTCTCTAACCTCTAGGCCGCGACGGCTCATGGAAAGAGGTAAAGAAAGCTTCTAACATGTGTAAGAATTTTTAATTAATAGCTTTTTAACTAATTGCAATATCGGAATATAAATGTTCCAAACATGCATTGTCATTCAAACTTAACGTGTGTATAAAATTGCAGCTCAATGGGTTGAAGGCATCAGCTTCAAAATTGAGTTCCAAGATTCCATCCGAACAAATTACTTGAATTAATATCTATTTAACTAATTGCGATATCGAAATATAAATTGTCAAAACACGTATTGTCATCCAAACTAAACGTGCATACACAATTTCAGCTTAATCGGTTGAAGATATTAACTTAAAAATTGAGTTGCGAGATTCCATCGAACATTTTACTTTAATTAATATCTTTTTAATTAATTGCGATATTGGAATATATGTAATCAAAACATACATTGTCATCCAATCCTAACGTGTATACAAAATTTCAGCTCAATCGGTTGAAGACATCAGCTTCAAAATGGAGTTGCTAGATTCCACCCAAACATTTTACATTGCAAGTTAAATAAAAGCTTGTAATAATAATCATCTTTAGTAAGATGTATGCATGTATCAATTTAAAATTATATTTAAGCATAAGGACATTTGAATTTTCAAAAGAAAAACTGATTTTAGAGATTTTAAAGAAAGAACGTGTGCTACAAACATTATTAATCTTTATTATCATTCATATAGATTCTGGAACTTTCTTTTTCACTTTCAAGAAAAATTCTGTTTTAAGAATTTAATAAACCAAATTTTCAATAAGCTGCTATCGAAAACGAAACTATTTTGCACGCTTTGATGCAAAGTTAACTGTAACTGTACGTTAAGAAAAAAAGAAAATTTCCCGCGTACTACAATCGTAATGATGTAGTATGGAAATTTGAAAATTTATATGATATGGCAATGTAAGAACATTTCTTCTATTTTTTACTATGTACTTATAATTATTCTTGATGAATTTTTGTTGTTGTGTTTTTTTTTTCTGTGTCATCGTATAAATTCATTCAAGTTGTATTTTCACTCCCTGAAAACCGATTTAATATGTGGGTTATATAACATCGTCCTTGATGCTCCCATTGTGAAAAAAATAATGATCCTTTTATTTGCTAGTTATGCATGTAAATCAATTAATTAATTTTTGTGAGTAACATAAATATCAAAATATTTGCGCCGCAACATGAATCATTTTTTGTTAAAATTTGTATGTGTCTGATTTGTAGGAATAGAATACCTTTATGTGACATAACTACTTGTGAAGCGCTGTCATTCCCTCGTTACGTTTTTCATAAACGGCGTGCGCAAGAAGACAATTTTGAGGAAGAATATATCAATTCTAAAACAAAGGTTTGTTTTTAAATGTTTCATGGATTATAATTATTTTACATATTTAAAATTAATAATCATTATAAAATTGAAAAAAATACTTGTAGCTTACAAATATAAGTTAAAACTTTAATGGTAATTTATTTTCAAAAAAATGTTTAAAAATTTATATTTCTGAGTATTTGTTGTTGAAATCTATGTGAACTTGTTATTGTTGAATAGTACAAATATAAAACTCAGCATTTCAAATCTTCCTTTATTTTTGCATAAGACTAATGAAATGCACAGTCACTATCAAATGTTTGATTTCAGTGTTTCTCCTCTGCATTGTTCCTATTTACACTTAAAAGAACTTTTTGTGATAGCTTCTGAAATTTTCTCATGAAATAATTATTGTAGAACCTTCTGGATTTTTGTATACATATCTAATTTTTGCCACCAAGTCTGTTACCAAGGTAATTCTTAATAAGTTCCTCCTATTGAAAGAGTATTCTCCTTCTCTCTACAAATGATATTTCCGGCCACAATACTCTTTCAGCAACAAACAAAGTTTGAAATTTTCAGAATATTTTTGAAAAGCACTTGTTTCGATATCAAAACTTTTTTATAATCTCTATTACTACAATTTTTATTCACAATTATACTGGTAAAGTTCTTGTTCTATTATAATAATATCATCTGATCTCTAGTTTTTTTTGGAAGATACATCTTTTTTATTGCATCATCAGATGTAGCTGGTATATTGCTGATAATATGCAGATGTTGAAAAAATGTATGGTACATTTGCTTAAAATTCTTTGAAAAAATGTAACTTTTTTTTAAAGATGTTTTTGGAATTTTATTTGTTAGAAACATTTTTTGTTTGTTTGATTAATTTTTACATTAATATAGTTTATTATAATGCATTTTTGGCAAATAAATTTTTACTTTTCTTTTGCAGGATTTGGAGACTAAATTTAATAAGGTAATTAATGTCATAATTTTCTATAATTTTGTTTTAATGCTCAGAATGAAATTTTATTATTTGCATATATTAAATCATTTGTATCTCAGAATAAAGAAGTATAACTTTAATATTTTTTAATACTTTATAAAGTGAATTGATTTCATTGATTTTTAATAATTTTTTCATTAAGAAACATTGTCTGTAGATTTATTTTAATTTCAGATGTTATAACAAATAAAAATTACTATTCTTATATTAATGAATTTTTTTCATTTTTCAATTTTAGTCAAATAAATAATAGAAGATTCTGTTTGATTGTAATTTGTTAGAAATGATTCTGTGCTTGTTGACTGATAATTTAAAAGTTTTGATATTGAAAATGAACGTAACTTTTTAAATATGAAATGAATATTAATAAATTAATCCTTTTCATTGATTATCTTGAATTAAAGGCAAATATATTGTTTCATTAACCCCTTCATTGTTGATTTTTTTTAAAGTTTGTTACACAAAAACAATGCATTTTTTTTGCAGAAACTTAATATCTATTCAATTCTGAATTTTAAAAAATGCAAAATATTTTTATCAGTAAGCAGTGTTTTGCATGACCTACTAATAGTAAAATATGTGATTTCCTGTTCACTGATCTCCAGTTTCCTGTATGATGTACCTATGTTTCAGATTTAAAAAAAAAAAAACTCTAATAATATAGATATATATTAATTTTACTTCTTTTTAAAGATAAATATCTACATAAAAATAATTAATAAAATTATTGGTTTAAAAATGTTTTAGAATATAGTTTATTAAAAAAATATTTTGAAAAATAATAATTTATTGTTAAAACAGCTTTACTATCTCCCTTTTACATCTGAGCATAAAACCACACACTTGTACAGTTTAAACAGACATGTAAATACTGAAATTAAGTTTCAAGGATGTAATTGTTCTCTTTATTACATGCCATGTGACACTGACTGTATAGGCATAAAAATGCTGAATATATGAGTTGTGACACCAACCAAGAAGCAAATGAAATACTAATTGATATGATAAAGACTAAAATAATCTATCATGTAACATTTGCAAACTGAAATTTATTTACTTACCTAGCTCTTTGTTAAATTAATAAATTTAAAAGAAATTTGAATGCATTTGGAAACTTACACGCTATTGCAACAATGCCAACATTCAAGGTAACTAACTCGCTTATTTGGCAACCCTGATTTCACATGTATCGTATGCATGAATTGGCAACCATGTGCTTCATTTAATATAATGTCACTGATACGGTTGTAATAAGATATAAGTACCTGCATTATTTTTAAAATATTTAAAGTAGTTAATTAAAAATTTTAAATATTATTTTTTTTCAGAGCAAAATGAAGCGGAAAAGTGTGTATAAGGAAGTTGAGGTACATATTTTATGCATTTTCTTAAAATGTTTATAAAAATATCTCATTTATAAATTATTTTATTTTGTTATTTCTGTTATGAAGGTATGCTTGTTCAGCAGAAGATATTGGCTAAAGTGTAGAAAAGGTGGCCCCTTGGAAAGGTAAATTTTTAAGCAACCCTGAATCAGTCTCCAAACTACCTATTTGTAGCAATAGGTGTTCTGAGAGTAACTGAGAACCGAATTCTTTCTGGCATCTAGATAAACATTGCCAAATCCAGGGAACCACCTGTTCTACACTTTAACCAAAGACATTCATTATTTCTGATTGACTATTTTCACAAAAATACACTATTGGCCATTAAAATTGCTACACCAAGAAGGCGACATGCTACAAACGGGAAATTTGAACAATAT